TGCATAATATCAAATGAAAGAGGATTGCATTGCCTTTCGAATGACATTAATCCCTCATAACAGTATTTAAAAGGGGTTGAGTAATGACCTGCCAAAAAGTACCTAAACTGCCACATTCAGTGGGACCGTGGCCTTAAAAACAAATGGCATTGATAGCACATTCATTGTCAACAGCGCGTGGCCGAACCGTTTTGACATGAGCCGGTAACCGTTATTTTTTTTCCGGTTCAGTTCCGGTTCGGGTTCATCGCGATAACAATATAACGGTTCGGGTTCAGGTCCGGAAAAAATACCGGTTCGGTTCCGGTTTTCGGTTGCGGTTCGACACCCTGTTTTTTTTGTTTTTTTTCAATTGTATCACTGCACTTTATTAGTGTAATGATATAGGAGCTCAGTATGATATGGGTCAGTTCAAAGCCTCCTGTAGCAGAGTGTCAAACTGAGATTTTTATCGGTTTAGTTCGGATTGACAGCGTTCGCTTCAGTTCCGGGGAGGAAAAATAATGGTTTGAACTGCTGAATTTACAATATTTTCCGCATTGTTTTAGCAACAGGCACTATTTGCGCCCTGAAACAAGTAACTATACTCTATAGTTTTTTTTTTTTTTATTATTATTGTTCATATGTTTACTTTTATTTTCAGGCGCCTGGAACGGGAACTTAATTTCGACGGAACAGTAAAACAAAAACTAGATTAACTTGCAAAACATTGTTTTATACGACTCAGCATCCGTTTGTTTACTATAGTCACGTATATTTTACCTGAATCAAAAGGTTGTTACGAAGTGTGGTAGGTCGCTTAAAATACCCCTGATTGGTACAACTTCGCGTCGCAATACTAAAAGTTGAATCATAGTTGTGCTCTTGAATTAAGGAATTAATTAGTGCATTAAATCATGGAATGGGCGCCCCGTAGCCATATAGGTAGTGAAATATTGTTTTCGAATAGTGTTTCACAATATATATATGATAACGACGCAACTCAGCGAAAAGCAATAGTGTTTTCAAAATGTCGCGAAACTTTTAGTACGAGCCCTTCAATCTACCTTTTATAGAAACACTGAGCTGCAATCAGTACGCTTGTTTTCTTAACCAACATTGCTTACACTCAGCACCATGATGCAGGCAAAGAAGCATTCAGTAAGAAGTGATCGAAATTGTTTATTTTGTATTTATACGCACTTTCATACTCAGATTGAATCTGGCCTAAAGTTGTGCATACCCAAGTGAACATTTTCTTATACAGGATGAACTGGGATAGCCTGACTATTGAGGTTTGTTCTTGTCAAGGTGCCGGTCAATTCAATTCGCAAATAAGCATCACCCTTGCTAATTGATAATTTTTCGTTAAATAGAACAAAGTATTTCGTGCTCTACTCGACATGGCAGCTACAAAAGATGTCACTTTCCAATGGCCTACATGCATAATCATCATAGTTCCACCACACATCCAGCCCACAGACACGTAAAATTGCTGTTCTTCATGTAAAAGAGGCAGTAACATACTCTTATATGGTTTAGAACCTATATATGCATCAGGAACTGTTAATTAAATCAGCTTCAAAATTAAAGTTTTATTTATACACGTGGGGGTGCGTTTACTTATGTTTATCTTTAAGGCGATCGGCCCTTTATTTATGTTGCCAAATCTTGTCAGTAATTAAATGTATATTTTTATTATCATCAATACATTTGACTGTATGAAGTTCCCATACCTGCTTGAGACTAACACGGCAACGACGATACTTGAAAATACGTCGGCCTTTAAGCCGATCTGCGGAAGTGCATTTTTTTTGGTTCGCTGTTTGGCAGTATGAAACACTAAGTTGCGGGGTATGCCAAAAAGCAAAAAGGCAAGGAGGATAGAAGGGAGGGCATGACGTCAGCCGCGTAGCCTCCCCAAGCCATGCTCCCTTGACATCTCGCCTCTCACATTTTCCTCCTTACTGTCCTCACTTATCAGCCCAACATGACCACATCACGTGACCGTAGCTAGCCTTCGTCTAGCCTTTGATCTGACAAGAACCTACCGGACGGAGCGCACGCAAACCTGCAAGGAATCGTTCTACAATCAACCATCCATCTCGCAGGTGACATATCACGCGCACCAATTGCCAGAGAGATCTGCGGTCACGTTGGCCACAATATCGTTTAAAGTTTTTATGACTAGGCTTCACCAATATTGCAACGTGCCCCCTCCTAGTGCTCATAACCTCCTTGCAAAAAGGACTTTGTGCTCACATGATTATTCTTCAAGTAAATCTGATACACAATGCCTTACTGCAAAAAGAAATAGGGAAATGTAATGATATTCCTAATTACGCATCAATAGCATGAAGGACAGACAAAGATTCTTATAATCATAACATTAATCACATTTGGGCATCGGCTTGCATGAACCCGAAACTTTGCGAAATACTACCTCGGGAGGCTAATGTTCTCCGTTTTAGGTGGACTTGTTTTGGGCCCTCACTTTAGAACCCTGTGCTTTATTAGTCATGCGCTCTAACATTTCATTAAGCTGCCGTATATTCTCGCGAGACTGCTAAATGTGTTGGGTCCTTGATACGTAAGAACGCAACTTTATTAGAGTAAATATCCAGCCCGTGTGGCTGGTCGGGATTACATTGTGGAGGGTCGCTCCAACGCTCGGCGGGGACGCGCGCGGTCTCGCGGGGCGCAGAGTCCGCAGGCGCGCGACGCACGCGAAAACGAAACCTGACACGCGCCCGGTTCGGTGCTCTCCGGACGCGCGGTTCCATCTGGTGCAACGTGGGGGAACCTCAATATACGCGACTCCTCGGTGAGGACCGGGGCGCGAGAACCTGAATACACAACAAAATGTATAGTGCACAACTTTACAATTTGGGCATCTACTTTGCCAGTGTTGCGAACAATGCATTTCACCACAAAACTGACATGTTTAACATGGCTGGTCATTGCGATTTGTTCTTGCTGAGAAAATCAAATTTGATGGTGCAAAATGCATTCGGCAGAAGGTTCACGGTCAGTGAAAGCCACACCATACCTGCCAAATCTTCCGTAAAATGTATGACTTGGGACTAATTTTACGAGTTTACGAATCTTGCTTAGTTTTTTACGAAAAAATGCTAAAGAAAAACATCGCTGCTGGCGGTACCTCGCACCGCCACAAGACGGCGATAAATACCGTCCACGGCAGCGTCATGGTTTCTACTATTCGATGGCCACGGATCCAAAGCCCAAAACCTTTGTTGGTGGTTCGGCGCGTTCAGTCGTGGTTCGGCCTCGCTGTTTCAGCCAGTTTTGTGGCGAGCAGTCCGGCGTCCGTGTTAGTTGCACGTGTAATCGTTATAGCATTCACATGCAGCAACGCTGAATGTGAAAGAGTGTTCAGCACTGTAAACAAAACCCGGACGGAGTTCCGCTCCTCAGTTTCCGACATGGCCTTCGGAAATCTGCTCATGGGGAAGGGGTATCAGAATGGGGCGTGCTTCGAACAAGTGGACTCCGAGAACAAAAGCATGCAAAATCGCTGAAAAAAGAAACCATCATTCATCAAGATAAGCGCCGGCCTATGACCCCTGGGCCTCACTCCTTTTGCTGCTCCAAGTCACCTGACTGTGGAACTCTTCACGACATGCACAATGTTGCAGAATCCTACTTTTGCATTGACACATGATTAATCAGTGCGAATGCAAAAGTGCCACAAAAACCCACAATTACTCATGCATTGCAATTCTGTATATAGACGATTTGATCAACACAAAGAAATACCGCTGCCAATTTTTTTTAGTCTCCAATATTCCTTTTGTGATGCAAAAAAAGAAAATGACAATGCATTGTTTTGGACCGGTTACCATTATATTTTTCTGGTTCAGTTCCAAGATGGTGGCGAAGATTTCGGTTCAGTTCCGGTTCGGCCAAAAATAACAGTTTGCCACTCTGTCCTGTAGTCAGTTTTATTAATTTGCAACACCACCTTGTAGACAAATTTATTTAAAATCGGACTGGAAAATAAAAGTCAAAAAGATTTAAATCACGCCAGTTTTACTATGACAATTTTAATCAAACCTTTCCCGCAGAACAAATTTCGAAAATAGTTTTTATTTACCGTTTGTTTATCATTTGATGCTTTCTATGTGCATTTCTGTACTTAAGTAAAAAAAATCAAGCCAAATAGCAAAAAAAAAAAAAAAAAAAAAAAAAAAAAAACAGTGCTCAGAATAGCACTGCTCTCTGCTCAGCCTGATATAGGGCTGAGCAGAAAGCAGTGCTCTTCTGAGCGAATCGACCTTAGCAAAGCCACTATTGGTTGACTGTGATATTAAAAGAAATAAGCAGAAAGGAGAACGGTACAAATATCTATTTCAAAACATCTCTACTCACCGGAAAACATAGAGGAAGATGGATGAATGCCATGATGTTGCACTTTGTCGCTGTTTAGTTGGCCCCATTGGCTCGTAGCGTCGGCTGCGCTATGATTATGATGAAATGAAGCATAGAAATTGCTCGTCAAATGTTCTGATATGTTGATCGCCGACGTCATATAAATTACCAGACAATGTCAGGAGCTATAAGTCGCAAGAAAACCTTTCATAGATGGCGACTACTGCGATACGACTGGACCAGGGTCTCGTAGTCCTGATGGGATCACTTGATTATCATGTATGCCATGTGCCTCCGTGCCACCACGACAAAGTTTGCTTCACTTTCTTTTTTTTTTTCGCGTGTCCCGACTTTTTTAATTGTTTGTTCTTGTACCTCTATGTTTTTTGTACTCCTTTTGCTATGCCCAGTAGCACACATGGTATCACTCGAAATAGTTAGATAGTGCCGGAGTCACAACATGTGCTGCAATAGTGGCCCAATATTTATGGCACCTTTTCCCAACAGCCTAAGTCGTAGAGACACCACATATGTGCATTTCCGATAAAACGGAACATAGCGATCGAACTGACTCTTAATTGATGATTTCGCTAGCTAGTCCTGGCCTCTTACCGAGCTCGTTTCTTCCACAGGAGGAGGCTGTGCTACATGACATCCTGGCACACAGCAAAGGTAGGTGATTTTCATCTTCTCCCATCTCTGCATGCTTTGGAGCCCACTCTGGTGACTGCTGCATATTTGCTCGCTGTTTTGATGGCTCACTCCTTTTGCTGGTCCGAGCCACCTGACTGCGGAACTCCTCATGACATGCAGGATGTTGCAGAATCATACTTTTGTCTGAGATAGTCCTGGGGATGCCAGGCGGTACAAACACACAACCCCAGCGTTAGCATGCAACTGCACATATGCTCGTTTTCACCTAAAAATAAAAGGGGGGGGGGGGGAGTTTTGTGCATGTTTATACGTCTTATAATATTTGGTTATCGGTGGAGGAAGCCATGCTTCTGTGTTTGAAATGTCTCGATAATATAGCATGTTTCTAAATGATCTTAATTGTCTATTCAAAGGAGCAAAATAATAATGCTCCGCAAAGAGCCGGACGTTTTTACTGCGCTTCTTGAGGCGAAAGCAAGCTCATCATATTTAAAATTGGTCTACGGGCCCCACCAGGCTTTCTTGAATGTTTTCACATACCCTTTAAAAAGGCTTAACGCGCCCTTTAAAAATGTTTGACACGTCTGAGATTTTCGTCAAAGTTTTCTAAGGGGCCTGACAAACCATTTAAAATATCCTAAATGATGAAACCCGTCATCGTTTTTAAAGCGATAGATTTAAGGAGCTTGTGTTGCAGAGAAGTCGGCGTTGGTGGGATGGGAAAATCCTGATTGATTCACCAGGTATTCATTTGCCTTAAAGAAGAAAAAAAAAAAAGAAAATGAAGAAATTTAGGCAATTGCGGGATTCTAACTCACGACTTTTCGGTTACGAGCCAGGCATGCTACCGACTAGGCCACATAAACACGCTTGCACAGCTTGGGAACGAGCGGGGATTTATATTTAGCTATCGTGTTCCACTTAAGCGTCCTCCCATAATGTTTTGAGAAGCCTGTGGGGTCTGTCTCAATCTTTTCCGTGAAACCACAGAACACATCAGAATCGTTTTTAATGTGTCTGTGGGAGAGATCGCATGGACCCTTCAAGATATTTGCGTCGGGGAAGCCGCTTGGCCATTTTGCATCGGGCGGCCGAAAGGAGCATTAGAAATTAATCTCCCGTCCCTCATTGCTGCGTCCGTGTGTTCTTTGTAAATTTTTCACGGGCTGGGCTGGAGAGAGAGATGGTGTTTTCCCAATGCCCAAGGACACCCAGTCCTCGCTCACGAGAAAGAGAGGGTGCGTGGGGAAAATGGGAGCCGTATGTTTTGCTGTTTGTTTGTAGATTACCTGTTTTTAGTCTGTCGAAATACTGTCTTCGTCAGAAGCTGGTCGCCCTGTTTTTCACCATCAGCGAGCGCAAACTAAATGCGCTACAACCATTGGACGCTCCGTGTCGGCTTCCTGTCCCGTGCGTGGGACCTCCCTCGTAGAGCAGCTGGGTTTCTTGTGCCTCTTCGTCCGTCCGGCTTCCGAAGCATCCAGCGAGCGAAAGAGACGCCAAAGACGACACCGTGACTGTGCTCCGGATTTCTTAATGGTGGCGGATGTTGGTGGCACGTTCGTGGTTTTCGCTAAACGTGCTGCTGACAGTGTGTATGTGTCCGTGTGGTGCACCTGCTCGGTTTTATTAGTTCCACACATCTCAGGAATTTGCCCAGCATCATTGTGAGTACCTCGAAAGATATTTTTTGCGACAAAGAACTCGGTTGCCCTTGTTTAATCTGATCGCTTTTGTCTACAGCTGCTTGCATTCAAGCCTGAGTAAACGTTGGTTCTTATTGCGTTTTTGAGTTACAACATGCATGTAAAATTCGGACCATAGACCAAAAAGGCAGTTCTAGTAAGAACGACGTGGTCGGTTTCTTGGGTATTGCCGTGTAAAATTTCAAGCGATTCGGTAACATTTTGACAGAGAAGAGATTGAGCTGGAAAGGCTGTTTTTTTGTAGAAAGGTCTCGAATGCATACTATGCTACTGTGATATTCCTGAATATGAAGTGGACAAAAGTATTCTGACTTTTCAATGATACCAGTAATTTACAGTTAGTTTAAATACTGCAGAAGAAGTTTGAAACAGGGAATAAGAGGTGTGATGATAAAGTTCCGATGCTGGTTTTGTGACGTGAAAAGAGGGGGCAGCACTGTGATGGACGCGCTGCAGTTTCGTGCTAGAAAAAAGAAAAAAAAAAAAGAAAGAAAAAGAAACGTAACAAGATACACCGCATGCCAGGCACGTAGCCAGGATTTTGTTTCGGGGGGGGGGGGGGGGGGAGGGGGAGGGGGGGGGAGGGGGAGGGGAGGTCCCAGCAAGATCAAAGATTTCGGGGGGGGGGGGGGGGGGGGGGCCGGGCCCCATGGGCCGCCCCCCTGGCTACGTGCCTGCCGCATGCGTAACTAATGTGGTAATAGGGAGTTTTCGTACATCGTTTCCACTGTCCCGCAACGGCTCTCCGCAACCAGTTAAGGCCCATACGCACATTCGCGTGTGAGCGCGGTGCGTTCCGTAGCAGCAAGCGGACGCGTTGCGTTGCGAAGACCGCTTGCGCCAAACTTGTACGCACAGTTGCGTCGACACGCAGTCAACCGCAGTCAAGAGCCAATAAGAACGCGCTATCGTCGCTAGTGGCTCACCAATACTAAGCGAAATCCAAGGCAACATGGGGGCGCAGCGACAGCGTCGAAGTGTTCGATCTTCGGACAATCTCGCCGGCTTCCTCGACGTTTTGTCAAGCTTGAAGCATCGCAGCCTTGGAAAATACAGTCCCCACCGCTCCCCAAAACGAAAAAGCAAGCACTGCGACCGGCGAACCGGATACGTCTCGCCGAGTCGGCCGGGTGGGGCGAGCGAACACGTCACCACCTCTCCTCTTTCGGCTTCTGATTGGTCGAACGCACCCGAACGCACCGCAACGCTTCGGAAAGTTGAGCGAGTCTCTACTCGCTTGCGTCGCGCTACCGAGCGTTGCGGGAACGCGCGCGTCGCTCCGCAAGCGACCGCGCCTGGCCGCAAGGACTCCGCAAGGACTCCGCAACGCACTCAAACGCGCTCAAACGCAAATGTGCGTATGGGCCTTTACGCTAGCCGGAACTCCACAGTCAAGGCCATCGGCGCGCCGGCGCAGTGGCGGCTTCTTCGTTGCGGAGGGCTTAGCGGAGGGGGAAACGCGGTCTACGAAAACTCCCTAATGGCGCATTCACACTGGAAGCGGATCCGCGTTCGCGAAGCGGTCGCGGATGCGGTTCGCGAGCGACCCCGTTCAGACACACCGAGAGGCGGTTCGCGGTTTCTCGGCGATCACACGTGATTTTTTCAGACTTGCGTTTGGCAACCCTGTTTTACAATCCAAAATCCACTTTAATTCCACGATCCAAAGCCGAACATTTGCTGTTTTGCCACTCTGTGAAGATTTTCCTCAGGGATGTTCCCACGCATCACGACTCAGGAGTTCAGGAAAAAGAAGCATGGTCCTGCCAGACTCGCCTGTGATTCCCTCGACTTCGCCCACAAGCAAAGCCCAGCTAGGCGCGCCTTGCTGACTCAGAACAGGATGCCCCCGACCTTTTCTTCGAAATGGGCCCTTCCCGCATGAATAGCTGACCTTGTTTTCGGGATAGAGGGCCAGTTTTTCCCCCCTCGTTGTTCGCTCTTATTATTTTCGAAGTTGTGAGCGGTGCGGTGGACCGTGGTGCGGAGGAATGTGTTCGGTGCTAGCCGGTCGTGGCTTCGTTGGACTCTCCTCTCGTCACTCTCTCGTCGATCGAGTCTACTGTTTGTTTGACATTAAGCTCAAATAAACGCCGTATGGATTACCTCTGCATTGCCTGGTACGTACACTTTATTCCTTGAGTAGGTTCCCTTTATTTATTTTATTAGTAGTAAACGTTACAGGTCGAGCTGGCGCAGGTACCCTGCCCCCTCCGCGGTAGTGCGTTGGCTACGCAATCAAGCTCACGACGTCTCTATCGGACTTCGTGGTGGTCATGCACGGTGTCGAAAGCTTTCAATAGTTCACGCGACTATCTTAATGGGTAGAAAGGCTGACGTTTCGGTCGATCAGGGGCGGGTTCCGACGTTCTACAGGCAGAGATCAACAAGGTAGCGAGCTTGGGCTGCGGCACCCGGAATAATAAACAAACTCTTACCCGAACCAAATCACCGGTGCAAAGCCCGTTAAAATTACGAGTCAATTCTTTTCGCGGCGGATTCAAGTGACGGATGTGAACATCAAGTTTCTCCGTAGAGTTGTCGAAAGCTAAGACTACAGCGCTAGGACTACATCGCCTTGGACGCCTCACCAGCGACAGGTGCCATCTTGTTTCGAAAGTCACTGACGTCACGTCAGCGTCGCGTTGTGATTGGTTGCCGCTTTGCGGTTCGTGAAAGCGGTTGGGAGAAATCGGTCCCGAAGCGGTTGGCAAAAACGCGCTCCAACCGCTCGATCCTAGCCGCTTTGCGGTTGAGAACGCGCGGATCCGCTTCGCGAACGCGGATCCGCTTCCAGTGTGAACGCGCCATAATAGGGAGTTTTCGTAGACCGCGCTGCCTCCTCCGCTAAGCATTCCGCAACGAAGAAGTTGCTAATGCGCCTGCGCGCCGATAGCCTTGACTGTGGAGTTCCCGCTATCGTAGCGGGTTGCGGAGGGCCTTGCGGGGCGGCGAAAACGATCTACGAAAACTCCCTATTGAGACTCCTTTTAGTTGTGTCCAACTTTACGTCGGTGAGGCCGGCCGTTGTAATTCGGGTGGCCGTCTTGCGGAGCACTGCAAACGGCGTGGCTGTGAACCAATGCTACAACTCGGTTTCTTAAAATGAAAAAAATAAAAAAGTTATTTTTTTTTAATTGTTTGGTGTAAGAAAATTTACGCGAAAAAATAATGTTTAGAGCAGTATTGACGGCGAGGGATTTATCTGAAATGGTGCGCGCAAAGTCCATGGCCTCACGGAATGGTCATTCGGTCATTCGCTCTTTCCACCTTAGCGCGAAAGCGAAGCCGATCCACGTCTCCCCCACGCGC